AGTACTGTCTGTACCATCGATGTCTGCAGGTGTCTAAAGGATCAGGGCCTCATTCCTCACACTCATTGCCTGTGATTTAGCCCAGTGCCTGCTTTAATAGGCTCATGTGCTAATCAGGCACAGTATTATAAAGCATTCTAGCTGGAGAGCAGGCTGGGAGCCTAGTGCTGCATAGTCCCCTGTCAGTACTTATGCAGATTGTGTCCTGCATCAAATGCAGTGAAAGGAGAAGAGGAAAACTGCCATAGTGGAATATCAAGTTCATAGAGCACTTGCTGCTTCGCCAAACAACAGCAGATTTGACAGTGTTTGGACCTGCAAACCTACTTAATTTTTACATGTTCTTGGATTTGACTTGCAGAAGTCTGGACAACAATGCTGTAGGGCTTGCCTGTTCTACCTGCCCCAGCAGTGTATAAAACCCCTAACAAATGGGCTTATGCTTGGAAAGACTCGGGAATTTCTAGGAAGAAGGGTTGTAATTACAGCCTGAGAGTATCTACTCCTTGACTGTTGTTTTATTTTGGTTTAGTGATCCTTAAACTGGAACAGTTGATCCTGTTCTCCCCCAGCCCATACAAGCCAATAACTAATGTTATTTTGGGTTCCAGACCCTTAATGAAGTCTATTAAATATTTTTAAATTGTTGTTCATCCTTGGAGTATGCTTTAAGCACTGGCCAGAACTGATGATCATAGAATTGTCTTCCTCCTTGTATGCCTACCTGGCCCTGAAATCTGTTGTGCACTGGTTTGGTGGTTTCCCATTTGCCTCCTCTTACTGGGAAGTTGAACAAAGGAGGGAGGAGGCCTGCTGCCTTCTAAGTGCAAGAGGTAGGAGTTGTGCAGCATTACCAACTTGGAGTTTTTTACTGCCTCAATAAAACAATTTTAATGTGATAAAGTAATATATCAACCATAACAGCTTTTCTATTCTGTATCAGCTGCAAGGATTACTAAAAGAAACCTTTACAGGGATATTCTAGTTTCCTGTCAGGTAGCAGTAGGAGCAGAAGAGATGCAGCTTCATGCCTGCAGTGAGCTGAGCGCTGGAGCCTTACAGGGGAGACAGTGGTTGGTTGGTGGGTGGGGTTTGGTCATATGTTGACTGCATACACATCAAATTGTTTTGCTGCAAGATGAGTAAGGGATGGAAAAATCTGTTTTGCTTGGCCTCCAGGCTTGTCTGGTTTTGCTAGTGTCTGATGCTACAGTTGTCAAACCAATAAATCTATTTAACAGAGAAGATAGTGACTCTCTGTATGAAAGGTTAGGATCGAACTGATGTGGGTTTTTGCTCTCCTAAACAACACAGCTGGCTCCTTCCTCTTTACCTGCACCCACTTCTCAGAGATAAATGCCCATGTTGGCTGCTTAGCAGGTTTTGGAAGTGTTCTATTTCACATAATTGAGCTTTCTTGCCTTTCTGCATACTGTTGGTGATGCCTGTCTTGCTTACCTGTGACATCAGGTGTATTTGACAGCTGTGAAAACCTCATGAAGTGCAAAGGCAAGGTCCTGCACCGGGTTGAGGCAATCCCAAGCACCCATCCTCTCAGAGACTGCCCTCAGGATTAAAAGTTTAGTACTTCCTTAACCTGTTAATTTTCCCAGTCATCTGTTGAATCATGTGAGCCAGCATCCAGATCTGCCACAGCTTCACAAAATGTGGGGTGTAAAACCCTTTGCTAGGAGCTGCCCGTGGCTTCAGAAATTTTATTTTAAATCCCCTAGCTATTAATAAGATGCTGGGTAAATGATTGCTGTTGCCTTCTATCATGCATTTATTAAGCCATGATATGGATATCCTATGTGACTTTAATTCTCCCGGTTTTAGTCCATTTATTCATTTGTCCTTTATGGCATCCTAGGATAGGGAATTCTAAATTTAAGCATGCCTTATGTGACAAACATTAATTTCAATGAGCGTTTCTGGTGCTTTTGTTGTAAGAACAGTTGGTGATCATTCCCTAATTCTATTCTTCATGCCATCCATGACTTTATAGACCTTTTGAATACTTGTACCTTATCTTTACTTCTCTCTTCTATCCAGATGAAAAGTCTTAAATTTATGCTTGTGTAGAAGCTCTTCCAATCCCCACTGTTCTCATTGCTCGCGTAAAGTAATTTTAAGTATAATACCCTTTTTGAACTGAAGTGACGGGACTGTCTAGATTTTTGAAATGGACACAAACCCTGTTGGTTTCCCCCCCGCCTCCCCCCGTGGTATGGTAATGTTTTCTGCTTTATTCTTTGTGTCCTTTGTAACAATTCTTCATTGTCTTTAGGCTTTTTTGATGCTTCGGATTAGTGAGCTGCTGTTTTTCAAGACGTGTCTGAATGATTTCACCCGCACTCGTTAGTGATACCTGATTTAGACTTGTTTTGATTTTGTGATCATTTCTTTAGACTTGTTGACACCGTGTTCTATCACCTGGTTCATTGCTTGTATTGGTATATTAATAAGTTGCTGAATTAGAAAAGTGCCGACTGATTTCTATTTGATAGTGCAGCTGTGATTTATTAGGCAATTCTTTCAAGAGCAGTGCTGGAGCCCGTTATATCATATTGCTAACGAATTCTTCAAGGCTTTAGTTTGCAAGCAAACTGTACATGCAGGCAGGCAATCTGGATATCGTGAGCTGATGAACACCTGAACAAATAATAGGGATTCAGAAACCTAAATTAAGTGTTGGAGTTATTACTGGTTTTTGTACTCTGGTCTTTTAGTCTAGAAATACATTATAGAACTGCTCGGGGGTCTCATTTCTCTCTGATAAGGTCTATTATTTGAAGATTTTCTAATGGGACACAGAACTATGTGATCTTTCTTAGAATCTTAATTGCACAGCAGCGTGATGCATTTCTTTCTTCATAGTTGGTACCTGTGGGGTTTTGACAACCCTGCCAAGATAGAGGTGAGCAAAGGGGTTTGCGTTTGTACTTGCCTTTGTGGCAAGAGCTTCTAAAGGCTTCTCAGAGTTCGTTCCCCAATCATCTATCAATGCATCTTTTCCACTTTTGCTGAGAGAATGCTGTTGAGCAGCCCTGGCGAGTTGAATTATTTTCCACAATGAGTGTTGAAGAACATTATCTTTGAACTGCCTAAAAATACAGTATCTTGCAGCTGTGCTTTCTTGTTTAAAAGCTATTCTTGTTTGGAAGTGGTGAAAAATTTCTTTTATGCTGTTTTATGCTGACAAATACAGTGGTTTTGGAAGACTTTTTTTACTTATAGGGCACTTTTTGTGTGAAGAACAGCGCTTCTGCAAATAGCCTGAGGCATCGCTTAGGAACAAACATGTTATCAGCAACGGGGTTTGGGCAGATCTACCTGCAGCTCCTGCAAAGGGTGATGTAGCAAACCAGCTGTGAATTCTTCTGTTGTAACTGGAAAAGCAGTGGTGCAGGACTTTTCCTCACTACTGAGTCCCTTGAGACATCTTTGGCAGGTCGCTTGTTAATGCTGGTTTGGGTAGATTTACCCAAACCCTTAGCGAGTCAGTAATTTAATATAAATTGAGAAGTCTTAATTCAAATTTCAAACGTTGCATATTTTTAGTCAGTCCATGTGTCAATTTTGTTTTAATTTTTTTTTTAATTAGTATTATTACATTGCTGTCTTCTTTTGTAGTCCTAGCTTTAGGTTTGGTGAATAAGTCCTGAGATCAGGATCATGGATTGCTGGCAACAGATTTAGGCAGTTTAAGTACTTTGGTTAAATAAAGGACAGATTTGTGCTATTTTCAGTGTCCCGTTCTTGTCCCTCACGTGAGTGGAAGCGAGGGGTCTTAATGTGCTGCATGCTTACCTGGTAATGTGAGACTGTTTCTGGTAAGTGGTGGTGTTTTGGACAAAAAATACATGAGGGAAAATTAGGAATCAGGTACTTGCTATTGATATGTCTTTAGTGCTTTTCAGGAGCTTGTCTTTTTAGGAGGCTACAAGGCAGATACAGTTACTGTTTCTGAAGAAATAAAATAACTTTGCTCTGGTAAGGCAATTAATAAGGGTAAACATAGCATGTCTGTGAGAAAGCTAGGAAGATTTTTACCTTGGAACTGAGCTTTTTCCACAAAGCAGTTCTGTTTCAAAAAATTGGAGTACAGACAGGTGACACTGCACTGCAGTAAGCGGGCTGTTAAGTTAGCAGGACCAGCAGTGAGCCCTCTGTGAGCATAGATAGCAAGCTCATCTCCTCGGGTTGCCCCATCTGGCTTCTGATTAGAAGGTTTGTTTGAACTCTGCAACGTTTTGACTGCTCTATATCATTGCTGTTTCCTTTCTCCTCCTAGATTAGCATTTAGATTTGCCTTTCTAGGACTGTGGAAAAAGAGATAAGGCTTGCCTTTTAAGTGGTTGTTAATAAAGTTGCCGAGCCACTGAGAAGCTTGGCTGGGAGCAGAGAAAATTGTCATCTTTGCTCCCTTTAGTTTAGGGAAAAAGAGAAAAAGTGGGAAACAGGATAAAAGAAAGTACATTTCTGCTTAATATGTGTTTTTTTTTTTTTATTCAACGTATTTTTGAAGAAGGGGCTTTAGTAGTATTCTCAAAATAATTAGAATTTTCTGTGGATAAGAATATTTAAATTAGTCTAAGAGAGTGTAAATTAGTCAAGAATGTCTTAACTTTCACTGCATAAGCCAGTCATTGAATTCCTGAACTGATGTCATAAGTACTTGATTTTCATTATGTTTCTCTATTTTATTTCCTGTGGCAGGATGCAAGATTAGGCTGGTTTGTCCATTTATCCTTTGAATGCACAGGTGCAATACGGGTGCTCATTTATGTTTGACAAACGCAGCAATCTAATGCAGATCTGGGATGTGTGCCTTCCCTGTCTGTGCTGCCAGGCTGAAGCCTGGCCCCCAGGACCTTTAAATGATAGCGATTGCTGCCGCTCAAGCATTTGCAGAAGAAAGAGGTGTGAAGTTGCTGGAGCCGGGAGTTCTGGACTTAGTTTTGAGATCTGCCTGACTGCTGGTTTTCTCATGAAAGCAGATTGAATGCCAGGATGCCTTGGAAGCGGCTGCTCGGGCGGAGGGTCTGCCGCTGGACACCTCCGTGCATTCCCAGCTGCGAATGCTGGACGAAGAGCATCACAAGGGCAAGTACCACCACGGCCTGAATGCACTGAAACCCATCCGGACCACTTCCAAGTAAGTGTTTCGCTTACAAAAGAACTGATATTATAAAAGAACTGTGATTCTGTGATTCTGTGATTCTGGCACTTGCCTTTCAAACCAGTCCTGAAGCAGGACTGCAGCCCTGGGTCTGCTGACTGCTACTGAAGACATGGGAATTTGTTTAGTGAGTATGACTGGCATGGGCTGTTTGGTATTCTGAGTGCTTTTGATGAGAGAAGACTTTGTTTTTCCTCAGGGATTTAGAATTTGGTGTCCTTTTTCGTTTGTTTGTGATTTTGTTTTTTTTTCCCTTTCAGACACCAGCACCCTGTTGATAATGCTGGGCTTTTCTCCTGCATGACCTTTTCCTGGCTCACTCCTTTGGCCCACAGAGCGTACAAGAAAGGGGAATTGTTTATGGATGATGTATGGTCTTTATCAAGGCATGAGTCTTCAGATGTTAATTGTAGAAGGTAGGGATGCTGTGTTTGGTATTTTCTTGTTTCTTGTTTGGTTTTCTTTCTTTTAATATGTGAGTTCACAGGCAATGGTATAGTATTGTCCTAGAAAAAGAGCACTGATGTTTTGTTCTGCCCTTCCCAGAAGAGCAGAATTTACTTTGTCCTTCATAGGCCATGTCTTCCTGCTGCACCACTTCTGTTTTCTTGCCCACTTTGGATTGTCTCCAGGATTGTTTTGCAAATATTTTTCTGATTTTACATGTTGTTAAACTAATTTTTATTAAACCGATGTTCTTTCTCAAGGCTATGGAGAAAAAAATCTTGTGCTAAAATAATTAAAACTAACAGCGACAGTAGCAAGGTGATTTGAATATAGGTCCGATCTTGCAACCAGGTTAACCTTTTATGGCTAATGAGAATTTTTCGTAAGTTTTAAGTCCACAAATCTTTTGTCGGGTCAGCAACAGAAGACTGTGATAAGTCAGTATATTAAGATTGCCAAAGACAATCCAGGCAAAGCAGAAGGCGTTGTGTTTTTCATCCCTCTCTGCTGCAGAAGTAACACAACGTAGCTATTTCAGGATGCAGATATTTCCCTTTACTTCACAGAATATGTGATGCGTTTGTTTCTCTTGATATACGGTCATTTTTGTAGCTCTGAGCTAGGAAGTGCTTGGAATTTTCACCAGGAAGTATGTGTGAAATTGTGCTTTCTCTCATGGTGAAAGATTTATAACACGAGGCTTCTGGTTTGTTTTTTTGTTTTTTTTTAACCCCTAGACTGGAGAGATTGTGGCAGGAAGAACTGAAAGAAAGTGGACCCGATGACGCTTCTCTCCGGAGGGTTGTGTGGATTTTCTGCCGCACCAGGCTCATCATTTCCATAGTGTGTCTGATGATCACGCAGCTCGCGGGTTTTAGTGGACCAGTAAGTAATATCCATCTTTTTTTTAACAACCCCAGAGGGCTCCATCTCATGGCCAACTGTAAAATCTTAAGGTTTCATTGCAGAATCACTTAAGTGTTTCGACTAGCTAGGAATTTTGGGGCAAAATTCCGGAGTGATTCAATAATCCAGATAGGTTTCCTACAGCTGGTGGATCAGTTGCTGAATATGGAGGCAAGTTCTTGGAGAAGGGAGGGGGAGTTTAGGTTTCTTGGAGGAAATGCACGCTTGTTTTTTCTCTTTTTGAGTATAGTTTAAAGTTCTTCCTTTACTGCTATGAGATCTTTCTGCATAGAATTCTTACATGCAGGTCCTATAATAGTTTTCTTTTTCTTTTTGCAATTCTGTAAATTTACCGTGGAATAAAATTTGGTTTGATAAAACACTCATCTTAGATTATTGGCATTAATAGCACAGTCTTCAAGAAGTGGAACGAAACAAAATTTTATTAGAGCACAACTTAAAAAATAAGTGTGAGCAGGTCCTAAGAAGTCCGAGAGTGTAGTCTTTACTGTGATCCTACAGCAAATGGTCAGAGAGGTTTCATGTAGAAGTGTTACGAGTACGTTATTGCCTCTAGGAACTGCTGCTGTTTGTTGCTTGGGTTGTAATGAAGATAACATACGGGACTTGACATTCACGCCATTTTTTGTCACCTGTTTGTTGCACGTGCTGTGCAGATTTACAGTTGAAATTTTGACTAAATTTATTCTCTACACATTTCCCTTGAGGAGTAGGAGCAGTATTACTGCTAGTAGTACACGTTTCAGTGTGCTGGTAAGCTGAAGGTTCATTTCTTGGGTAAGTACACTTGGGTGCACTGTTAGGTCAAATGTCTTTTTAAAATGTTTTCCTGCTTTTAAATGTCTTATCAAAATGATGTTCTGCTCTTTAAGCCTTTTAAAAGTTTGTTTTGTCTCATGTAATATGAATAACAAGTATTTCTGTGGTATTGTTTTATTGGTAATAATTTCTAGTAGCTTCTATTACAAAATATATGAACATGCTTTGGTGTTTAACAATAAATCATGATTAAGGTTTTAACAGCATTAGCTTTCCCCAAGAAGAGCTTCTGTCATTGTTTCACTGCAGGGCTTTAGAATCTGCTTTTATCTTTAGCAAAGGACTTGCAGCAGGGTTGCCCCTAATTTCTGTAGTGTAATTTTCTCAATTTCTCAGCCAAACTGCTGAGTGAGAGAGAGCGGGAGGGAAAGGAGAAAAAACAAACCAGCTTGACTAAGCTGGGGGCTACCACTGCAATTCATGCTCGATTTGTGTAACTAAAAATTATCTATAAACATTTGCCTGTTTACAGGCAGCCTTATTCATTTATCTGAATAAGGAACAATTCCCTTTTGGTTCCATCATTTGGCATGAAAAGTTGGTCTTTACCATTCCTCCTCCCTGTTTGTAGAAATGGCATGCCTCGTACACATGCCTGAGCTGTCTCCTCGGAAGTATCAGTGCTTTCTTGTATTCTTACGCCCTCTCAGTAACCTGAAGGTGAAATGGGAGATCAGAAAAAGCACTTGACTTTCATGGGTGATGAAAATTATACAAATGGAGTTAAACACTATATTAAACTTCAGAAATTTTAATTGAATGTCTGTGACCTTGAAATGCCAGCCAGCAGCCATGGCTTTGCTAATGAGCATTGTGATGGTTATAACTGGAAAGGAGTTGTTGCAGACTTCCCGTGTGGGATTTTTTTGGTATCAGATAGATCCTTCAAGGATCATATTTTTTTTTTTTTTTAATTTGATAAATCCAAACCTGTAACCTTGCAAGACAGCTGTGTGTGTCAGACTGCCTTGTAATAACCATCAGAATGTACTAGGATAGGTAAGATACTATTGACCTCTGGTGAACGTTTGCTGCCATTTGATCAGCTGCCAAAACTTTCAAGTTTGGGTTGAGGAGCAAAGAAGTTTTTCCTGATTGCAAAACATAATCAGTTTAACTCCGGGTCTGAACAACGTACCTGTTTGCAAGTGTTCAGAGCTATTCTTCCTGTTTGGGAGATGGGGAAACTTGCTATCTTAGTGGAGTACAGCCTGACAGTTTGGTCAGTTATTGGAGGGGGGAGTGGTAAGCTCTCAGAGGTAAGTTTCCCAATTTCCCAGTTGGCTCCAGTTGCAGCCTGCCCCGTGCTGTCGCACGCTGGCTGCAGCAGGGACGCCAGCGCTGCAGTGGGACCAGTGACAGAAGCTGTTCTTTAGAATTTTCAGGATGGCTGTTTTCTGCGTCAGAATGAGACAGTCCTGCTGGGCAGAGCCAACGCCAAGAGCAAAGGTAAGGTAATGTTTATTCAATGGGAATGCTTAAGACAGCCGAGCAGCTAATCCCAACTACTACGATGATAGTCACAGGAGTACCTTTTTCCCTGTTAGCTTGAGTTTTAGTTTTTGTACTGTAACTTTCTCATTTTGTAAATAACTTTATGCTGGATCCTTGTCATTAAGCTAGTTTGAATTCCAATAATATGTGTTGAGATGTAAATGTTAATTCTGTGTGACTTTTTTTTTCCCCTCTCCCTTTTCGAAATTCTTTAATCTGCTGTTTTTTCTTTCTTCTGGGAAAAAAAAGTAAAAAATGGGGGTATAATGTAAGCTGATCTCTATTTCATCACGGGAGATGCTGAATCTATAAAACAGTGCTGAAAAATTGCACTAAAAAGTTTTGAGAGGAATGAGACCCCAGGAAACATCCGCTATCTTTATACATCCTCTCTTGGAGACTTTCAGCAATGCTGTGGTGTGCGAGAAAATGCTTGCAGTCTGCGACCATGCTGAGTTACAGCTCGTGAGGAAAAAGGGGGATTTTCACCCCAATTGCTCAGTGACTCGGTTGCATATGTTGGATTGAATACTGGAAAAAGAAGTCAGTAATCTCCTTAGTAGCTGCAAACCAACTGTATGCAGTTGCGGTCCAAACAGTCGATGCAAAACTAAATCCAAGTAAGGAGAAAGCCGGAATGCAATAGATCTATGAATGTGAGCTCCTCACGTTTGTTCAGGGATCGGTGTGTAAATTTTCTCAGTGGCCATTCTAGAACCTGATGGACATCTGGCTTAAATTCACACCTGTGAAAAAGAAAGAGCAAAATTATTTACAGCATGTTTCCTTGGTTCTGACGTGCAGAATTATTTTCCTCAGAACAGATGAATTTGATCTCCATTTTTTTCTGTTATTTGCTACTGGGCTATAGCTATCGATACCTCTGAAGCAGTGGGGTTTTCGTTTTTTCTTCTCTCTCCAAACTATACAGAACTCTTATTTGCAAAACCTGGTTTAGCCAAGAGGACTTCAACGGACTATGATGCGAAAGGCTTCTCAAATATTTTCTTTGGTCTCAGATTTTATTTTTTTTTGTTGCTTTATATTGTGGGCAAAGGTAATGCTCTGCTCTGTACTAGCATATCGAAAGCACCAATATCTTAAAGCATCGTTTGTTGAAAAGCTCTCTAGGAAGTCTTTTGCTGTCTGTGAAGCCTTACTGTAGGATAACTTTTAAACCAGATTTCAGAATTTGTACAGCATCAGAAGCCTCCTCTGTTGGCACCTGCAAGTTTGACTTCTTTTGGACTTCGTGAAGAAATACTGTTCTACTTTTGTATCTTTATAATTTTGTGTGTAGTTTCAAATCTAGTTGATGTTAGAGGCTGAGACTGTTAGATATTAGCCCGTTATAATAATCCTGTATGTGCAGATTGTATGTTTATACAATACTCTACCTGTTGTACAGTGTTTTTGAGATGTTACCATTTAAGATGGCACTTTTATTTCAAATAAAAGCCTATTGTTTTGCAGTCAGTAGTATTTAATATTGCTGGTGGTTTTGAGTTGTATGATGTTATCTTGTGCCGTCGGACCACAAAGAGCTGGAGGTGGGAATCGATGGTTCTGGGGGCTCTCCTCTTTCTGCAGGTGATGTTTGAAATGTGATTCCTGAGGTAAAGCGTTCATGTTCTTGGGGGAAGAGGGTATGGGGAGGGATCGAATGTTTAATTTTCTGTATTTTTTTTTTTTCTCCCTGTCCCCAATGATTTGTGGTTTTGCGTACCTTGTGCTTTCTGCTTGTTTTTTTCTTTACTATTAAACTGCTGATGTTTATTTCCAGGAATGTTTTGCAAATGTCCTTCTCACTCTTCCCCTCTACAACTGTAGGTACATTGTTCCTTTTTATCAAATAAGCACGTTTGAAGCAAACCAAAGATAAAATAAAAAAGGTCTTAATGTCACGTAAAGGAATGTTTCTTAATGTGCGCAGATGTATAAGTAGTGACTATATTTTAAAAGTCTATATGATAATGCATTGCTTTCAGCTAACTGACAGATTTATGTTAAGTTAGAAGACACCGAGGATTAGAAGCGTGCTGCGAGGAATGTGATTCCAAATTAAACTTTCTTGACTTACTAAATTTGACTCAGTGCTTGGCTCTCAGCAGGGCTTTGTGTTACAGTCCTTCTTGTATTGACACCTTTTACTTCTAGAAAGAAGATATTTTCTATTTCAAATGGCTCTTTTAAAAGCAAAGTAGCCTACTTATTTCTAACTTAACATAAAGTTGTTGCATGGTCTTTTGGGATGATGGGATGTTCATGCAAACTTGCATTTCTTCCTGTAGGCATTTGTTCTGAAACATCTTTTGGAGTATACCCAGCAGAGCGAGTCCAACCTGCAGTACAGCTTGTTTTTAGTTTTTGGCATCTTTATGACGGAAGTAGTGCGATCTTGGTCCCTTGCACTGACCTGGGCTTTGAATTACCGCACGGGGGTTAGACTGCGTGGAGCTATCTTGACAATGGCATTTAAGAAAATTCTTAAGCTGAAGAACATCAAGGAGAAGTCTCTTGGAGAGGTAAGCTGCGACACTGTTTTGGAAATTGCAGTGGGAAAAGGGATATGCAATACACTCCTTTCAGAATCAGCTGTGCTTTGAATCTAAATAATCTCTTACGTGTGTGTTTTCAGCTCATAAATGTGTGTTCCAACGATGGTCAAAGGATGTTTGAAGCTGCAGCAGTTGGCAGTTTGTTGGCTGGGGGCCCTATTGTGGCCATCTTAGGAATGGTTTATAACGTCATTATTCTGGGTCCAACGGGCTTCTTGGGCTCCGCTGTCTTCATTCTTTTCTACCCTGCAATGGTGAGTTGGAAAGAGTTAAGACTTTCTTCATTTTTACTAGATCAGACACGTGTATTGTTTTGAAGAGAAGGGGTTTAAACGTGCTAAGTTTAGACTATTTATGGTGCTGCACGTTACCAGAGGTGTTTCGGAAGATAGTGGAACGTTGGAAACAGGAAGCTCGAGATGATAAGGAAAATTAGAAAATGGAAATAGGAAAGTTGATAGGTTCGACTGAGATAAATATCCGTAGCTAAATTAAACTGCAGAATGCTTAGGTGCTTGTGGTTGAGGTTGGAAAGACCTGTGCCTCCAGCTTGGGTACAGGAGCTCAGTGTTGCAGGAGCACATTGCTTGACAAAAGATGTTGAAAAGCACCACACCTGGGAGAGGGTGTTCTTCATTAGTTACTCCTGCGTCTGCTTCTGCTGAGCTGTGAAATAGGCTAATTCAAGCCAAAATCTTGGTGCCTCTGAAATGCCCTATGAGACTGCTCAAGATGGGTTGCTGTATTTGTAATACGGCTTTTACAAGCCTAGAGGTTGAGTACGGTGAGGTTCGCTTTGGTCCAATTTATCTGGATTAAAAAATGCATTAAAAAAATGGGAATTATTTTTTTTAAAGAGTGTAATTAGGAGTGGAGTTTGATCTTTTTCAGTTCTTTTCAGCAGTCCTTCTCTGTTGATGAGGACTCTGAAAGAGAGTGCAGGAATATGAAGAAGGGCAAGGAGCTGAAAATTTACTTTAGTGTGCTGGTTTTGAGTTTCTGACCAGGAATTCTGACCATTCTATGAATGGAATCAATGTAAGAGTAGCAGATACTTAGAAGTACATTAGTAACTATTTGGGTTGGTTTAGTAAAAACATTAAAACTGTTTTGCCACTTTCATAGCATTGGCAGATGGTAGAGATTAATCTGGTTGTGTGTTGTCCAGCTGGCTTTTTGCCATATGGGAGCAGGTTAAAAGGATGACTAAAATGGGTTTTACTGGTCACTTGCTGTGAGGTTCAACTTGCTGTGTCTTTAGGTAATGTGCTTCTAGTCTTTGTGCTTCAGCAACTTTAACAAATCTGGTACTATTCAATGTTGATAAAAGCACACACCTTCATTTTCACAATTTTTATTGTTGAAACTTGATATCGTGTGTCTAGTGCTCGGTGCATATGGGATGGGGGGAGATGAACAGTGTTTCCAGCCAAGCAGACTTCTGTGGTAGAATGGCAGTTACCTTGCCTCACCCCTGAAAGCCCTTTTCAGAATCAAAATTCTCTCTCTGTGGTAATTAGAAGTTGAATGTACCTGCTCTTTCTGAGTTGCCGTTAGTGTTGCGTGGTGTTGCCTTTTATTTCAGATGTTTGTGTCGCGCCTCACAGCTTATTTCAGAAGAAAATGTGTGTCAACAACAGATGAGCGTGTGCAAAAGATGAACGAAGTTCTCAATTACATTAAGTTCATTAAAATGTATGCCTGGGTCAAACCGTTTTCTCAGAACGTTCAAAGTGAGTTCACACAAGCTGTAAATGTTTCCCTTTGTGCAGATGCCCCATTGCTTCACAGCCTTGTGCATCCTCCTCGCTAATACCGCAGATGTTGCTGTACGTGCAGTGCAACAGCACTTTCGTCCTTTGGGTTTCTATTTGGTATGCACGATGGGCTGGACAAACACACCTGCTTCTAAAGTTTTGCCTTCTAGCATAATTATGTTTGTGGCTTGGCACTAATCTTAAGTTTTTAAATTTTGTTCTTTTTTAAATCATTTAGCAAGTGTGTTGGCTGCTCCATTTTTAAATACAAATAAAAAGATCTCTGTTCTCATGGAGATCTACAGACCTTTAGAGTTGTTCTTCTGTAACTGTGGTCTTTATAAGAAGGTGTATAATGTGATAAATGCTAAAGGGTAGAGTTTGGCCTCTCTTACTCAGTGTTTATAGTGCTATGGTAGTGTCTGTTTTGTACGTATCCCCCGAATCATACTTCAAATGTGGTGCCCCTATTTATTTTTCTAGAAATTCGTGAGGAAGAACGTAAAATCTTGGAGCGTGCGGGCTACTTCCAGAGCATCACTGTGGGTGTGGCTCCCATAGTTGTAGTCATTGCCAGTGTGGTCACCTTTTCTGTCCATATGATCCTTGGCTACGATCTTACAGCAGCTCAGGTAACTTTGTGCAGTGTTAAAAATACTCTTTACAATATTGCTACAGTGGCTTTTCTGCTAAGCCAGTTCTCTTCTTGGCCATAGCCTTGCTCACAGAAGTGAACACCTTCTGGGTGATCTTACATCCTGCACAAATACCTTCCCCAGAACAGGGTGGACTGTCAGAGAAAGCTCCTGTTTGCTCTTCAGATAAGGCACTGGGATTACTGGATGGTTTTGTTTTACGCTATACTTGGATGAAATCACAAATCTCTTACAGCAGGATTTGAACTTGGGTCTTTGCAAGTAATAGGCTAATGCAGAATTTGCTGGCTGTTGCTTTCAGTAGACCTGCAAACCGTGGAGAAGTCTGTCTTGGTCGTTACAAAGCACTCGAGAAAGAGTTGGGTAGATGATCTGTTTTCTGCCGTTTGAGAATATTCAGATGGTTGTTCTTGGACTGTGGGTCTTTTCTGTGGCTTCAAATTGCTTCTGTAACATTTCAGTTTTTAGAAGGTTGGAGTTGTTAGTATATTGCATCCAAATGCGATTCTTTTTATTGTCTCATTTTTTAGGCATTCACAGTGGTCACTGTCTTTAATTCAATGACTTTTGCTCTAAAAGTAACACCATTCTCAGTGAAGTCTCTCTCCGAGGCATCTGTTTCTATGGACAGATTTAAGGTAAGCAATCGTTTGGCCTTTGCAGCTTCAACTCTAAGTGTGGAGTGTTGTATGTGTATAATAGATGCAAAGGAAACACTTGGTAGGTGATGTTTTAATGACTGAGGAGTTCTTTTTCCTTGTCACTTAGTGCTTCAGATTGATTTCTGCAAAAGAGAGACAAATCTAGTGAAAGAACGTTAAAGTTTAATACAGTACCAGTGTGGGAAGCAAAATATTCCTATTTAATGATTTTAGGATTTTGATGTTGGCCACTGTAAGAGTTTGAATACAGGACTAGGTGGCTCATGGTCTGGTAATTCTTAAACGCCCTTTTAAGACCATCTGTGTGAAAAGACAGTGCAACATGACTGCAATGAAATTTCATGTGTTTCTAATTAAACTCTTTAGAAATGTCATGTAATATGTAGGCAGCTTTGCACAAACTACTGGTGTTTTATTTGTAGTCTTGAAAAACTGAGGGTTTGTATTTCTAGACCAGATTAAGTGACAAACTCCGCTATGTGGTTAAAATGCAGTTGTGATCTGATGAAACTGAATCTGTGGCAGAAAATTAAAACAATTATAGTAAACAATCTCATTTTGTCCTTCAGCCCCTGTGAAGTCACTATATACTGTGTGTACTTTAGTATGAACTCAGAGAACAGGCCTTTGTCTTTTCTCTTGAAGACATAGTGTGTTGCACGTTGCAGAAATTTCCAAATAGTGTCCCACAACCATTGGCAGATACATGGATTCTGTGTAATGCCAGCGTGACGCCAATCTGGGCGTGAGAAGAAAGGGATCTGCAGAACGATTTTGAGATCCCAGTGCTTATCGTCTGAGTCACCCTAGATCAGACTTTCTTAAATCCAGATGCACTGAAGGGAGTTTTTGAGGGGAAGAGAAGGAAAGGGGAAATTGTAATATCTTCCATTTCAAGTATAAAGAGTATAATCTGTGTAGGGGATACGCTAACATCCCAGTAAAGATGTTACCGACTTGGCTCTGTGAATGGATGTAAGCTTTCTTCTGCATGTATGATTTGGGCACAGCAATGGCAAGAGTAAGACTGAGAACTGAGAAGTCTTTAAATTGCAAAAGGCTTCTTAGTTCAAAGCATGAATAATGAAAGTGGAAAACATTTTATCTTGTAATTAAATTGTGTGCAAAATATCTTCCTAATCTGTGTTGATTGTAAATGCTGAGGAATGTGGTGGAAAGCACAATACAGTGGACTTAACGGCTTCCTACTTAGCATCAAGCAGCCCAGGATGGGTCAGCTAAATTTGTGTGGGAGGACTTTTGCCCAGCATTAAAGTTGAAGGGTAAAGACTCCAGTCATTCTATCTCCTTCTGTAATGAATTGGTGTGCAGGACGAGTCAGTCGCTTTCCCTCAAAGTGACCTCCCCTTTCCAGTCCATGTATTCAGTTTGTGGGTTTTAATTTGGAGATGGCAGAGCTGCAGTTGCAAGCAGTATTAAAAGGATAAGCCCCCTGTCATATTACATCCAAAGTCTGGCAGTTCTGTAAAAGTCTTAGTGTATCTACTTGCTTCCACCACATCCA